AAAATAAAATAAAATTTTACAAGAGTCGTTTCAAAATTTTTATCACATTTACAAATAATTTTTCTCGTGATCTATTCTTTTAGAAGCCTATTTCCTATTCATTATTATGCAAAATTTATAATTACATGACCAAACTTTTTTCTTCAATTTTCACAAAAACTACAGCCTTACATTTGTTTTTAATCTCAAAAATTTTGATAACGATGGAGAAAATGTTGACGAATGAGAATCGGGAAGGTTCCCGAGGTATAAGTTTATACTTGTGACCTTATCTTTCCTCGGATCACTACCTAGACCTCAGGAGTTTTGATTTGTTCACACTCTAAGCACCCTGAATATGCTTTTGAAGGAATTTCTCAGGTCCTTGCTCACGCACTTTATACCTCATTCCTAGACTGGGCTGTAGGTTATGAAGTTTAAGATTACCAAGGAAGAGTAGATTCTGAATGTAAACAAAACTACCGAGCAAACAATGCAACAAAACTAACAAGGAAACAACCGGAAGATTTCCTAGAACCAATCCTGTGAGCTTAAAATCTAGTTTAGAAAAACTAGATTTATTTTCAATTCAGTATAGAGAATAATTATTTAGTGAAAAGCATTGGAGTATTTTTTTACAACCTCGTTTCCTAGTGCAGTAGTTTTCTATATAGCTAAGTCAATTGTAATCAAACATTATACAATGAATAAAGTTTGATAGTAATTTATTTGAGAATATTTTGAATTAACTCTGTTCCAAAAGCTGAAGAGCTTTCTGTCCATGAAAAACTAAATCCTCATTCCTTAGCTTTCACATTCCCTAAAAAGTCTCTTAAGTTAAGTTGGCAAACAGTTGCTAGGTTACAAATATTCGCCGGTCCGTTGCCAAGTAACCCTCCCCAAACCAAACGTTAACTTTCTTGACAATAACGGTTCATTCGTCATAATTCCCATACGACATTAATCTCTATGAATAAAGCAAGGAAATATAGAAATTGTGGTTCCTTCATTTGTAATTTTAATTAATTCTTGCATTACTTCTAGAGAATAATTTCTTACGTCAATCCTCGAAAATGATGACCATGTTTTATAAGCGTGAATATAATCCTATATATCATTTCTAAAATGTGTTTTTTTGTCGGTACGCCCTAACTTCGTCAATTCTACATCAAATCCAATGATTGACCACTCATTTTCAAGATATTCTTCTCCTTCACATGCGAAAAATAGTCTCATCCTCCCCAAATTTCTGGAAAAAAAGTTATGGAGGAAAAGAAACTTTATTTGCGAATAACTAAAGAAGTATGCATTTCTTTTTCTGGATTGTACCCACGGTAATTAGAAATATTACTGAATTACCTACAAAACAAAAAAAATCTTAAAAATTGGACAATTATTAACAAAGATACAGTCCATTAGTTCTGGTATACTTAATAATTATTTCTCTTTCAAGATACTGCATTTACTATTCTACTACATTTTTTTTTCCTGGCTGACGTATGTTTTATTATTTCTTAAAGACATTTTTTTTTTTTATATTTTTTAATAATTTAAAAAATCCCATGATTTAGGCTATATTATGAATGTTACCATTTCAACCAGCGTTTAGAAAAATACTATAGATAGCAAAGCGATTTGTACATACATTTTGGTCTATTATGTTAAATGGAATATTGTAATCTATCCAGGAAAAATAATTAATTGATCCCTTATATAATATATAAAATCTACTTATTTCCATATTGTTCTGCTATTCCTTCACTTAAGAAAATTTTCTGCGTATTATTCGCACGGGCCAGCTAGTTTATTTAAATACTAAATCAACTACGATCCTCGCCGACCATAAAAATAAGCCTACATATAAATAATAATTTAATAATAACAGCCAGAATACAAAATATTTTGGACTCATTGAAAGGATAAATAGATGAAAAACTTAAAGAGATGAAAATTGCTCGTTTTTATGTTTATCGATTTATCAGATTAATCTAATTCTATTAACGAGGATTAAATCCTCGTTCTCATAAATTTCACAAATCAGCAGAAAAGTTCCGGGATACCTCAAACAAAGAAGATTCGCAATTTCCTCAAGCTAATGAAAACTACGCCTAACTCTGTGAATCCTTAATTCGATACTTCCTTCCCCTAAGGGAGGGGGGGGGAGAGGTGGTAAAGAATGAGAAGAAGAAAAGGGGAAACTAAGATAAAAATAATTTCAAAACGGAAGGAGCGATCCTCAGAACTTTTGACATCTGCCTCGGACTTAAAACGCCTTATCATTGCCACCAGATAAAATTCTACTCAAGGGAATATTATCCCTCTAATCAAAAACAGATTTAATAGTTTTTCCGACTTGTTTTTTATCTTAGAAGTTTTCTTGTTCAACTTCCCCGCCATCATAGAGAAAGGAAACTTCTTTTATGGAGAATAGATTTCTTGTTGAATACTCCATGCTGTAGTATAGGGGAAATCCTGTTTAGTAGTTTTTCGTTTACTTTATTTAGTAGTTATAAATTATTTCTATTTATTTAAAGAATGTGATTATCATAGCTAGACGCTTACACGCTAGTGGATTACCTAGATGGAAAAGTGTATCTTTTTTTCCTTATCACTTAAACAATAATAATAAAAGACTTAGCGAGCGCGAAGGTTCGATGCCGACGTCACTAATCCCTGTCTACACTCCTTCCTCCGCCACACAGTGCAACAAAACGTTAAAATGGGGGGACAAAATACCAATTTTAAAGTGTTTTTTTTTTCTCGAAATCTTTTATATTTTCTTGAAACCAGATAGCTGGTGACATCGAATGATTGTTTTAAAAATGTTTCTCATGATGAAATTTAATTCCAAAGTCCAATGAAATAGCAGTGCAGAACACTTATTTTGACCCCTATATGTACGTTTTTGCATTAACCACTAATACTTGATCAAAGTAAAAGGGTTTAAAAAATTCGTCGTTTTAGAGTCATTCCTACATTATTATTTTTACTTAATTAATGAATATCTCATTTTGGATGCAAAAGCTATCTTCCATGTCAGTCTCATATTGTCAGGTGGATGATAGTTAGTGTTGCCCAAAATTGGTCTTGGTCTTCCACTTTGCAAGACCAAGACCAAGGTGGCTTAATTGTTGCAAGACCAAGACCAGGACTAGTAAAAAAAATCAACTTTTTTAATAAAAATTAATTCAAAAAAGTTACTAATACTTGACAATCTTAGTTACTGTTTGTTAAAACTGATATAATTAATATACTTTTGCATTCAACTCCTCTGATTCTTCATTCGGGTATAGTTAGGTTTCTCCTATCTAAAAAAATACAGTAATATCTCTATAGTAATAAGCTAATAAGTAACTGCAAGACTGTTGGGAGAGTCTTGCGCATGACCAAGACCATGACCAAGACTCGTCTCGTTCTCGCATTTGGGCAACACTAATGATATTCAAAGACAATTCAGCTGCGACTGCCCTTTTGGTACAATTTTTTTTTTAATTTGTTTTCTCACTTAAATGCCAAGAAATCTCTGATAATACCATTTCAGTATTTACTTACAGTCATTAATCGATGTGAACTCTTGCCTTAGTAGTTCTTGTCACAACTTCCAAACGATAGTCCTGAGGATGACATACGTGTTTGGGTCGAAAGTCGGCTAACCCAATAAAAATATCTTGTCTGAAATTTCTGACAATTTTGTCTCATCCTTATAATTGGTCAGTCCAATAGTAAATTTGTAATCTTCCAGGAGTATTAACTTTCCGCAATAATTCAGTCGATCATTCCTAACACTAATATAGATCGCTGTCAATATTCAATATCATGTTAACTATTTTCAGCTATTTCGTCAATAAATGAAGAATTTTTAATATAACTATTCAAACTTTTTATATTATTTATTCAATACAATTAACCTTTCAATTAAAATAGTAATATTAATAGAAAAGTACCGATTGTGTAGTTACTTTTTTCAAGATAAAATTTTTCTGTTTTCCTGGATTGGTAGTGGTCAATTGAGAAATAACAACACTTGAGTTTTTAATGAAGTTACATCCAGCTGCTCTGATGGAAAAACTTCAATTAGTTAATAAAAGAACAGGCTGGATTCCCTCGATGGTTCCCATTGATGAATTTAGGAATAGTCTGATGCGATGAGTTTATAAACTTTTTCTTTTCATTATCTTGTGTTTCATGTACATAAATTAGTACTTCAAATGGGTCAGACTAATTAAATAATTTTTAAAAAGTAGATTAATTGTGGTTTGACATATTATCCATTAATTTATTAGTCAATGATTATCTTTAATAAAAAACATAAATGTCCCAACGCTTATTAATTGTCTCATTATATTATTTGTGAAATAATAAAGCTTTATATGAGAAGGAGTTAATAAAATAAAACTTTATATTGCTCAAATCAGTAAAACCTCATGACTGCATTAAATACAAACATGACAGTTTTAATTATAATTCTGTTACAGTATATTCCATAATTTATTATAAAGATTACTTATACAGTTTTTATTTGTTTTCACTGTTGTTGATTTATTATATTACCCAAATTATTGTAACTGTAATTATAGCTTATTACAATGGGTAAAAATAATTAAAATGTTAAATTATATATTTTAAAGCCTTCAAATTTCAAAGAAAAATGAGGGGAATAGACACTTTGAGTGCAAAGCCGCAAAATTGTGTCCAGCGTTTTTTTTAGGTTAATGGGAGGGAACATAGTTTTATTGTTCATTTCTATTCTTATTAAATTCTAATAATTTACACTAGTTATCTTTTCATAATATTTTTATAAAATTTTTCTGTTTAAATGGAATGAATATTCTAGAAATTGGTGTTTAATTTATTTTTTAATCTGAGAAGGAGTTGATCGGAGGGAGGGGAAGGGTGCGGTCAAATAAATACTATTTGTTAAATTTAGTATTTATTTGACCGCACCCCCCGATCAACTCCTTCTCATATTATATCAACGGTCAATCATCTCTACATCATTACTTTTTAATCATTTTTCACAGGTAATTATAGTTGCTTAGTGGCCGAATTCTTCCTGAGCAGGTCTGTTGGCTTCCACTTGGTCCAGAGTTACTTGCCAACTATTCTCATCGTCGTCATCTCTTGGGTTTCCTTCTGGATGGACGTTGATTCTGTTCCTGGCAGGACAACCCTTGGGGTCACAACTCTCCTTGCTGTGTCCTCCCAATCCTCAGGTAGCAAGATATTTATCATAATTAATTTTGTTATTACTAAAACAGTTTCAATGGATTAAAACTAAAATGAAATTAAATAAATCATGCAGATTTAATTGTTATTTTTATTTTCATTAAATCTGCAGACCTTCAGTTGAAAGGAAGAAATGAGATAGTATTTACATAACTAATAATGAGACATTCAAGAATAACAACCGAATACCATGTGACAGAGAGAACAACCTCTCAGTGTTTTTCCTGTGGGGTAAATTTAATGAATTTCCTAGATAAACATTGCAATCAAAATATTATTTCTCAATTCTTATTTTATCGACATTGTATAAGTGAAAAGCTTAATGTTTAATAAAAATATAATTTTTAAAAATTCTCAAGAAACAATAAAAAAATGTTCCAACTTTTCATTATTATTTGTAGAACTCATGAACAAATGTCAATGAAAATGAGATATATTCATATTCTTTCAAGAATACAAAAATATACTAAAAACCTCTTTATGATATAGAATAAGAAGCTACATAAAAGAGAATGATTCCATTCAAAAATTGAAAAACAAAAAATCTAACGACCAGAAATCAAATTATCATTTTAAGATGGGGTTACCTGTTTGTGAAATTATGCTTAATAGAATGCATATGGAAATTTTACACTATATTTTTATTTTTTTGTTTTAGCTTCAAAATTGGTATCAATCATGCAATATATTATTTATGACTGTATGATTTTTTAATTGATTAATTAAGTAATAATATCCATTTTCTGTTTTTAATAATTTTAGGTATTCAAAGTGGTCTACCCCAAGTAAGCTATGTGAAAGCTATTGATGTCTGGATGGGCACCTGTACAGGTAAATTCTCTTTAATAATTGATAATTAATATCATTATAATAGGTTATAATTGTTTTAAGGAGGTGGCGTCCTCAATGCCTCATCTATGAACCGCAGAAATAGCCACTTGGCCTACCGCTAGGCGCCCTGAATGGGGGAGTGAGTCAGGGAGCTCTGAGGAGGTTGTTCCTTCCCCTGGCTGGGAGGCAGTTGCCTCATGACTAAATTTAATTTATTACAAAAAAAAAAATGGAACAGATACAAGTCACCTGGTCCAGACTCTTTAAATATGATGATGATGGTTATGGGTTATTAACCTTTTAATGAACTTAATCTATAAAGTTCTTAGTTTTGAATTTATATTTATTAAAAAAATCTTATAATTTTATGAAATCGCTTCTTGAGTAATTTCTAGTAAAACCTTGAAACTCAATAAAATGAATATAATAGAGTTACTTTTCCTATCGCTGATCCTATTTCTAACAAATTTTTTTATTGCATTTTCTCTTAATAGTTAAGCTTACTATTAATATTAACATTATTACTTAAGTCCCCAATCATGAATGTAGAAATTAAAATCCCTTATTTAATCCAACTCAAATTATCTAAGATCGAATCTTAATAAAAGTCGACAATGATCATTTTAGCAGCTTTCTCTTTCAGCAAGAACCTGTATGTTGTAATGTTGATTAATTGTGTGACCTTCAGGAACTCCATTGTGGTGGACAATTACATAAGTATTGAAGGAAAAAAATCATCATCCAAATTTTGATTTGCTTATTCGAACTTTGTTTGACTCTCGGTGAAGTTGGGTTACAAAATAGGATTTTGCCTAAACTCTTAAAGCAAAAAAAAAAGTTGGGTTTTTTCAGTGCATGGATCAGTGCTTCATTTCAGGATCTTAGTAAAAAAAAAAAACATGATTTGCCAATCTGCATTAATTGGAAAAAGTTAAAATTAGTCCGTTGAAGATGTGAAAGATGAAGTGACACACGTAGTGAAGGATCTGACATTAGAAGACCTGCACTGTTTATAACAATGGAAGATTTGCATGGAGCATTGAGGGGTATTGAAGGGGTGTATATTGTAGGTGATAATAAATAAATATGCCTAAAATCAAAATAAAATATTTTACAGTATCAGTATCGTTATTTCATAGCATTTGATAAAATGGTTTATTTTTTTTTACAATTCTTTTTTTTTTTTTGTATTTCATTTCTTTGTTTTTGATCCATTTTTATTATGATTTCAGCTTTTGTTTTCTGTGCCCTGCTTGAGTTTACTTTTGTGAACTACATGTGGAGGAAAGTGGTGCCGATTGAAACAGTTTCTGCCAGAGATATTAACGGAGGTGTCAAACAAGACCAATTGCCGGTTAGCTACTTCCAATTTTTTTGTGTAATTAATTATTATTCTTTATGTATCTTACTATTATATACATACATTTTTAGGGCCGAAAAATTGCTATTGAACTACCCAACTCTAACATGCGGATGGCGAGAAGAATAGATGAATATTCTAGATTATGTTTCCCAATCGCTTTTGCCATGTTCAACCTTCTCTATTGGTCTTATTACCTACGATAGAGGTACCTTTTCAGGTAAGAATACAATTCACACATTTTTACTTTTTGAGTACTCAATGGTTGACCGTTGTATACTTTAAGTATAGCTTTTGAATTCCAAACATTCATTGCTAATATAATATAGTTCTCAAAGGCCATTTTGTTTATTAATATTATTTTTGGAAAATACCTTAATTCTATTGATATTTGCAGAAAAATTGGAGTGTGCCAATACTTTTTTGATGCACTGTAGAACAGCCGACTAACTAGCTTTCATAACTATTCAATTAGTATAGTTGTATTGAGTTTTAATATTTTACTGTCAAATTGTTTTCCTAAACACTCCTCCGCAGTAACTATTTGGGATTACTGATTGCACTGTATAACTAAAATAATGGTTTTAACTGAAAAGTGTTGACGTTTTCCCTAACAATGTCCATATTCTTATTATTGAATATTCTTTCATTTAAAGTATTTCTAGTTTATTTTCAGTTTTCTTATTTTCACAGATGTTATGTGAAATTGGTAATCTTTTATTTTTTAAATTGATTTTCTTTTATTAATTTTTTCCTGTATTATTTATTAAATAAACTTTTGTAAATAAGTTTTTATTTTATTATATTTTATTTATACAATAACATAAAATCTGAATGGGAACCTCTGTATTACAATAATGCGCTTATTAATTTCTTGTTTTGTTTTTGTTACAGGAGCCAATGGGAAGGCGGTGGGTGGAGGCATTGAATTGGAGAATTAAGAACTCAAAGGGTAGTAAAAATATAAGGCCAAGAATGAAGTTCAGAGGAATTGAATGTCGTTTGAGAGTTACATTATATGTACATATAAAAAACATGGTGAATGAAACAATTGTTTGAATCTTATGTCTCAGTTCTTCAATAATTCCTTCAACATTACATCGATCTTTATATTGATAATAATATGTTTTATGTCTTTATTATTGTTTTATGTATATAAGACTGATGTTGATGAAAAGCAATTAACTTACTTGACTATTTGATAGTGAGCATATACTTAAACTGGCAGTATTATCTTTAAATCTTATACAATTTTATCATTTTTTTTATACGTGCATTGTAAAAATATTAATATATGTTTATTCAAAATGTTTTATACGTTCAGTTCCATATATTCTGTATTGATGATTCATTCAGTTTATATTAGCAAAATTTTAGAGATTGATTCTAATTTTTAACCAACAAAAATAATGTTATTACAATTTTTTTTATCATATGTATATATACATTTTGTGTCACTTGCCAAGATTTTGGATTTATTTAAATTATTTCTTATTTCCTATATATTTTAGACTTCTAGTCATAAAAGGGCAAATCAAGTAGGAACTAATTATTTTAAAATATAAAGTAAATATAGGAACTATAGTATTTCAGACATTAGAAGGATCTTCAGAAATTTCCAATAATATTTGTATCTAACTCTTCATCACATGAAACCAATCTGTGGTATCCAGTAATGTTATTTCTGTCCTTTAACAACTTCTATTCATTTTTAAAAATCAATTTTCATTTTGAATTTCCTAATATCCTGAATAAAATCCCTCCTTTTGTTGCTTATACTTTTTTGGCTCTTTCCAATTCTACTCAATTCTCTTACTTTAATTGATTAAAATGTCTAATGTTTATTTGATTGAAAATTTGTTGTTGTGTCTTTAAAGCGTAAAACTTCAAGGTCATCAATACCTGTAATTTAATAAATGACTAATGTTTAATAATTTTTTACATTTTATTTTAGAATTAAATTTATTGATATTATGATTATACTTTTCATTGATTTTTTTGTATTTTTCTATCAGAATACACCAATTGGAATAGGAAACAAACTAGCTAACCTAACTAATATGTCTCTAAACATTTAATTTTGTTGGACTATCCATTCATGAATAGTGGGTACAACAACCAGCTTAGCGAGATTGGGCTTTCTTTCTCTAGCAGCCTCCACCAGATGGTATTGTCTTGTGCTGTAGCAGTTTGGGTGTCCATCAAGGTTCCAGCATCTGCTAGCACAGGATGGTCGTTCCACTCTCTTTTTTTTTTGGTGAAGCTTCTCTGACGACTTTTTTTGGGGAGACCTCAGACTCATCCATACATAAGATATGGCTCAAAAAGCTCTTCCCATCTTAATAAATCAGTATATGTTGACATCAAAGTCATGTGCCGCATGATTGTATTCTTGAATAGTTCGCTCTTTTTTCTTTTCCTCCAGACTCCTCCCTCTCCTACAGCTCCAAATTTTCTTCTTAGTACTTGCTTTTCAATTACTAGGAGTCTTTTTAATTTTTTTTTATGAGGTACATAACTTGGTACATTAATATGTCATTAGATAGGTAATGCAGACTGAAAAAGGTTTAATTTTGCCTCATTAACTTAAAGTATACACCCTTGATTATAATGATGGTTTTTGTTTTCATTGGTTGAATAAACGGATATCATTTTATTTAATAAAATATCATATTTTATACTCATAATATTTCTTTGATGGAAGTTTTGAAGGTAGAAACACTTTGCCTACTTAACAAATATAAGCTAAATGCTCATATTCTGTAATCTAACCAGATATCAAAGTCACCTCTCTATCCCATCCCCTCCCCTCTTTCGAATTTCAAGAAATGAAGAACTATAAATGTTTCCTTGTAGTTTATTGTCTGGATGCAGAAGGCTCAACAAGGTTCATTGACATCTTGGCATTCAATGTGATGGAAAAGGAGGCACTCATAGTGGATCAGGATCAGGAAAAGGACTTTGCGGTACTGGTGGAGAAAGAGGAAATTTATACGAAATGCATACCTTACCTGAAGTTAAAGTATAGAGATGAATTTAGAGAAAGACAATTCTCAGTTAAAGGTTATGGTTCAGAAGCCTCTTAATACAAGTAATTTCTTGCAGAGGCTCGGTGTTGGAAGGGAGCAGATGCAGACCATGGCAGAAACAATTATTTTGTTATAAATTCAATTAGAATCAATCTTTAAAATTTCTCTAATGACACACTCGTTATATTTCTTAATTTAAACCTAAAAACAAACCCATGTGATGGTGAAATTCTATCGGGATTTGAATTCAGTTAATTCAATTTTTTTTAAATATTATTTTTGCTGAAGGCTTACTAGAAAGGATTTATGAAGTAAATACACAATCTATTAATATTACATGAAGAGTGTATGTGGTTTGAAATATTGTGATCCTGTTTCCAAAACCTGTTGACTACATTAAAATGAATGAATATAGAAGTTTGGTGTACTTATATATTGGTAATTTGAAAGAATAAAAAGTGCATTCTAAATTATAGTTTTATAATTTTTTTTTTTTTTTTTGTGTGTCCTTCAGATAATAAATGCATCAAACTTAACTCACACATTTACTTCAGAAAAGAAAAAGTAGCAAGGATGTTTTGGAATTAGGGTCATAATATTCTCTAAAGTGTGTATAAACTGCCTATTAACCTTACTAAAGCTATGCTTTAAAATTTACTCCTTGTCAAAAAAAAATTTCATTACCATAATGATTGTTGTCATGAATTATTATTAAGTGTATGATAAGGGTTAAGTGCGACATTATCTATTCTTTAAGTGTTACCGTTAACAGAACATGGTAGCTTGAATGAGTGTTTTCATTTTATCAGACACTCACTTTAAAACCAAGCAAGGTATTATTCTATTCATAATTCCTTAACTTAAAATATAGATAATTTTATAACTACTTCCTCCTTATAAATAAAAAAAGAATAATGAAAAGTTTTATTTATGAAGCTGAAAAAAACTGTATATATTAACTCATGTTATTATTTCTTATTTTTATTAGAAATATATAAATAAATGTATTTAAATCATTTTTCATGATCCAATTATCTTATTTATAACCTTTTGAATTCATTTTATTTTTATGAGTGATAACCAAATGTTGCTTCTTTCCATTTTATCAGTAAAAAGCCTCTTAAAACTAAATAAAATGTTAGAAAATATATTAAAATAAATGTTAATTTCTTTCATAAGTTTAAAATAAAAAGGTCGTCTGATAAAATGGATTGCTTACAACATTTGCAATGTATTTTTGAACGGTTGAAGTTATCCTATTTTGTAATTATTTGTATTAATTATTAATGGCTCAAATTATGTCTTTTTTTATAGTCATTTATTGCACTTGAAAATTCTATTAAAATCCTAGTTTATTTTTTTTACATTTATGACTTCTTTTTTTTTTTTTATAAATTAGTTCATGAGTTTTTCATCTATAAAATAACTTGAATTATGTAATTATTTTTAATATATATATTTTTTTTATGCAGAGATTGTGATACTAAAAATTTATGAATAGATATGAGTTTGAATGGATCACAAAAATATTTTATAACATAAAAATATATACATATATTGACTATTATATATTTAAATTTTCCTTGCGGCACTAAATTGTAAATATCACTAAATGTTAGATATTACCTATAGAGTTAGTTTTTAAAGAAATAAAATAAATATAAAATGTGAATAAGTTTTGTTGTAAATGAAATGTTTATTTAACTGTTGTTGGATTACCAATGCGGTAATCCGTATGAGGAGAAGCGGGTCCAAGAAATCTTGGTTTATGTAAATATATAATCTAATAGGCATTGGTAAACGATAAATGTAAGCGACTATATCTTATTATTGTTTTGTAAATAAAATTCACTCTTCTAATAAAGCTTAATGATTGATAATAATCATCAAGTTTGTCTTAAATTTAAAAAATAAAAACTAGGCTTAAGATACTTTCAATTAAGTTGTTAACCTCAGTAAAAAGACTTACTATTCTCAACAGTTTATGTAAAAATTTATTTTTTTTGTACGCTATGTACTATGTATATTATATAAATATTAGGAATATAAGTATTTTATTTAAAGCTATAAAGGAGTTGCAGGAACAGTGTAAACTATACTGATAACTTATTTTCATAAGTTCAAAACTAATCGAAAAAGTTTGTAAAATTGTTATATTTTGCTTTAATTTTTAATAATTAATTGCCTCATTTTTAAAGAATTTTTCCCCCTCCTTCTATTTCTAGCTGGCTACGATAAGAAGCTACATGAATATATCTAAATTTTTTTTCAGAGCTAATAATATACATTAATAAAATATTAGATTAAAATACTATTATATTCTGTATTTTTTTAATATGTTAGCAATCAGTTCATTCAGTTAAAAATTAATTATTATATTCAATGTCCCATAAAGGCATGATGGTAGATCTCGAGGGTAACAAAAAAGTTTAGCTGAATCAAGCTCAGATTCCAGAAGGAAAGAAGAAAATAAGTCATGGTTTTGGTTTGATAGGAAGCAATAACCAATAACAGTTTAGTGATTCCTAATTGCTAAAATTGTACTAATTTTTTTTATAAGAAGAAAAATAGATTTTTTTTAAATTTTTTTTTTTTTTTATCCCCTTCCTGGCATTTTTGCCATACGGGATTTCAGCAGCGGTGGGTTAATACGTTGGGAATACGTACATCTACTGCTGCCAATACGGCTCTTTATTTTATTTCATTTTTATTTAATTTTAATGGTATACTGTGGTGCAGTCCGGTGCAAGGGTGTGCGCCTTACTCTTAGGGCCACACCTTAGTCCCCAACGGGTTGCGTGTCCTGCCCTCCTGGTAGCTTCCTCCAGCAGCTTGATGCTGCCTATCCCGGTTCTCTTCCTCCTTGCCTGCTGTAGAAGTCCTCTCCCTATTCTGACATCCGTAGGCTCCGCCTTCTGTTTTTTTTTTTTTTTTTTATTAAACCATTTGAAGTGCAAAAATTATATAAAGTTTTAAATATGATCATGATTGAAATTCCTGACAATTTTTTATCACCCTTATAATTGATCAGTCGACTATTTACCCTTCTCTACATAAAGTTTTGTTTTTATAATAAAATAGATTGTTCACGATTTAAAAAAAAAAAATTTAATTATCAACCTCGTATTAGACTAATGATTTACCACAGTATAAAATCTTCCATGTTTAATAACCTTCAAGTTAAAGTTTGTCCGAGAATAAGCTCAATCTACTTCATGTTTTGTTTAATAACTATGCGATGTGAAGTTCTGTTTTCTCAAAGTTTCCAGCAACAATAATTACAATAAATTAGGTATTACAAAGTATGTACTTCTTTTTTCTATGACTTTGAATGTATTATATTGCATGTGTCAGTAAACATGGTAAATTTACCATTCATGGTATATTTCATGGTTGCTATGTCAGAAAAAATTATTCTACATAAATACGGTTCCTCCCGTAAATTTCCATTATTTCTGTATATATTAGGATTAGGATTAAAAGATAAGAACATTTAGGTTTACCATTCATCATGAATTTATTGGTTTCTTCAGAAAATTAGTCAAAAACGATGTTGATTTGTGGTAGGAAAAAAGTACAAGTTATGTTCATTTTCCATGATGGGATATTTAGTGATTGTAACTTATTAATTTTCACTTATTATTCTTCAAACTGACATTCAGCTCAAAAATATGTTTATCTTTAAATACAAAGAGGAAAAGTATTTTTTTTCTTCTTGGTAAATTGTAGGTATTTTACAAATAGAAAAAAATAAAAGATTGCCTAAATGCATATGTGGGTAACATAAGTAGGTGTGTGTCCTAATAATAGTGAAAACATCAATGACCTATTAGTCGACTTTGAATATCACAAACTTTTTTTTATTTATTTATTACAACTAATAGAAATGAATAACTACATTTCTTTCATTCAAAACTGAAATAAGATTTGTAGATCGGATTCAACATTTAAATAATATAATTACATATTGTATATTTTGGTTTAAATCAGGTATAAAACTATAATTTGAAGGGCATTATGAAATAAGTATAGTAATAAAATTAATTAATAGTCAACTTGTAAAATAATGAGCAAATAAACAATATAATTTTATAGTTATTTGATTTAATAATTTAAAACATAAAATAGACATATTAAGTGTAATACTTAATTGATATATAATAGATTTATTTTTTAACTGTCTTCTCTGTATACTATTTTAAAAATGAATAAATAAATATGAAGATAAATGTGAATTTGATTTTGCTTCCTTTTATTGTTCATTACAAATGGT